AACACTGGCATCGTGCTGGCTTCTGTGAGGGCCAATCCTGCCCAAAGTCTGAGGGAGTTGGAGAGGACGACTTCCACTCCTCGATCCACTATTCACGGCATTCTGAAAAGGAACGGCTTCCGCGCGGCTTTGCCCGGAATCATTCCGCGGTCTCTTACCGCAAGGGAGCGTGCGGTGAGGGTCGATGTGTGTCAGAAGCTCCTCGATCGAGAAAGAACGACGACTTGGGCGAGCTTCATAATTGCTCAGGATGAAAAGTGGATCTCGTACGAAAACCCGGATAGGAAACTGGAGTGGCTGCCGTCGGATCAAAAGCCGGAGCCCGTTCCAAAGCGAGGCTGCCACGCCAAGAAGGACTTGCTCTCGTTTTTCTTCTGCTCCACCGGCTGTATTCAGGGTACAGCATCGTTGTGTGAAACACATGGGGGGTCGTACTTTTGCTCTGGGGAGGGGGTCGTATTTGGGGTAAGACAAATTTATTTTGATAGTTGATTTTTTCTTGTGGAAAAGGGGGTCGTATTAATTTTTTGTGTTATATGCACCCTGTACACCCGCCGGATATACGTTGCATAGTTATTGTATACCCCCCACCAACGGGGAAAAAAAGGGGGGGGGTCGTGGCGTGGACCCCATTCGGAGGGGGGGGGGTCGTACTCACACCGACATTTCGCCTATCCCTATGCTGTACCCTGGCTGTATTTACTACGAGATTCTTCATGAGGGTACTACTGTAACATCATCGATATTCTGTGAGCAACTACGAGAGCTGGTGTCCCGAGCTCGAGCTGGAGAATTTAGGAATCGAATGGCTGCCCCATCCTCCGTATTCACCTGACCTTAGCCCTTGTGACTACCATGCTTTCAGGAGTCTCCAGGCTTACGCTACGGGTAAGATGTTCAACAACCATCAGGATGTCAAGCGTATGGTCGATGAATGGATTGCGTCCCGGCCTGCTTCCTTCTGGAAGGAAGGTATCGATGCCCTGCCCAATCGGTGGAGAGACGTCGTGGCTAAGAAGGGCCACTATCTTGATTACTGATTTTTCGCTTTTGTTGTTGTTAATATGTGTTTATTTTTTGAGATGAGAACCGTGCGGTGAAGGTCGATGTGTTGTCAGAGCTCCTCGTCGAGGGATATAGAACGAACGACTTGGGCGATGCTTCATAATTGCTCAGGATTGAAAAGTGTGATGCTCGTACTGAAAGCCCGTATTAGTGAGAACATGGAGTGGCTGCTCGCCGTATCAAAATGGCCTGGAGTCCCGTTCCAAATGCGACTGGGCCACGCCAAGAAGGACTTGGCTAATTCGTTTTCTTCTGTCTCCCGCCAAACCGGGCCCTCGTATTCGGGTACAGCATCAGCCTGTGTGAAACACATAGGGGGGTCGTACTTTTCCGCTGGGGAGGGGGTCGTATTTGGGGTAAGACAAATTTATTTTGATAGTTGATTTTTTGTTGTGGGAAAAGGGGGTCGTATTAATTTTTTGTGCTTATATGCACCTTGTATCACCCGCGGGATATACGTTGCATAGTTATTGTATCCCCCCACACCAACGGGGAAAGAAAAAGGGGGGGAGGGGGGGGTCGTGGCGTGGACCCCATTCGGAGGGGGGGGGGGTCGTACCCACACCGACATTTCGCCTATCCCTATGCTGTACCCTGGCTGTGTTTACTACGAGATTTCTTCATGAGGGTATTACGTAACATCACTCGATATTCTTGTGAGCAACTAGAGAGGCTGGTGTCCGGCGAGCTTACGAGTCTTGGAGAATTTAGGAATCGAATGGCTGCCCCATCCTCCGTATTCACCTGACCTTAGCCCTTGTGATTACCATGCTTTCAGGAGTCTCCAGGCTTACGCTACGGGCAAGATGTTCAACAACCATCAGGATGTCAGGCGTATGGTCGATGAATGGATTGCATCCCGGCCTGCTTCCTTCTGGAAGGAAGGTATCGATGCCCTGCCCAAACGGTGGAGAGACGTCGTGGCTAAGAAGGGCCACTATCTTGATTACTGATTTTTCGCTTTTGTTGTTGTTAATATGTGTTGAATAAAATGACCGAATTTTCTCAAAACTTTCCGTGACACCTCTATATATCACAATAGAGCCTATTTAGGCGATAACTGACGGGCAAGGAATTCGCGACAAGATGAGGAGAAAATGAATGATCTCACCAAGGAGCAAAATAGAACGATCATAAGAAGCGTTCAGACTCCGCGATGACGTGCGTCGACTCGCGACGACGCGCTACAATTGCAGCAGCGCTCCAATACTATAGGCGAAAAGCACCGCATACAGCATCGATCGACGAGCCGGCGCTCCGTCGATGGAGAGAGTACAGGATGAAGGGAGGGTAAGTCGCTTGGCCTCCAAGCCTGGTAACTCGCAGGCCGTTTTTTCATACTCTCACTGACGCTGTACGTCACGTCGACCGATAAGTCTGGTTCGCGTCTGCAGCATGGAAGCGCAATAGCGGCGCGTCGACGTGCGTTAACGCGATGTATGAACGCTACTGCTCGATGACCTATTAAATGAGTGAAACAAGAAGTCAAAACTGCCTACCGCATGGCACCCAGTTTCCATTTAACATCTCGAGGATCGAATAAAATATGTGGCTCGCTGCGTTCAGTCTTGTTACCGTGACCCAGTTGAAAATCAAGACCCTGCGAATAAACAATATTCATGAGAATTAAAACCTATTCTGAAAAAAAAACTGGAATACACCCACCTTTCCCCACGTGAAAAGCGATCCTTGATCAGTGACGACTGCAATATGAGACAGGCCTGTGGAAGCGTCAACCACTGGCCCGTCAAGAAGGTGTAACACTTCTCGAACGCCTAGGTCATCACGTGGAGTGTCCATAGGGAGGAGGATTTTCGGTTTTCAGAATAGGTTTTAATTCTCATGAATATTGTTTATTCGCAGGGTCTTGATTTTCAACTGGGTCACGGTAACAAGACTGAACGCAGCGAGCCACATATTTTATTCGATCCTCGAGATGTTAAATGGAAACGCTTGCATGGGGTAGAGGCAGTTTTTTGACTTCTTGTTTCACTCATTTAATAGGTCATCGAGCAGTAGCGTTCATACATCGCGTTAACGCACGTCGACGCGCCGCTATTGCGCTTCCATGCTGCAGACGCGAACTCCAGACTTATCGGTCGACGTGACGTACAGCGTCAGGAGAGTATTGAAAAACGGGCGAGTACCAGGTGTGGAGGCAGCACTTACCCTCCTGTCATCCTGTACTCTCTCCATCACGAGCGGCCGGCGTCGATTGATTGCTGTATGCGGCTGCTTTCGCCTCTATAGTATTGGAGCGCTGCTGCAATTGTAGCGCGTCGTCGCGAGTCGACGCACGTCATCGCGGAGTCTGAACGCTTCTTATGATCGTTCTATTTTGCTCCTTGGTGAGATCATTTCATTTTCTCCTCATCTTGTCGCGAATTCCCTTGGTCAGTATCGCCTAATAGTAGGCTCTTATTGTGATGTTAGGGTGTCCAGAAAGTTTTGAGAAAATTCGGTCATTTTATTCA